AAAAAAAAAAAAAAAAAAAGAAAAATGTTGGGCCCGGCATGGTGGCTCATGCCTGTAATCAAAAAAAAAAAAAAGGCAAAGGTGGGCAGATCACTTGAGAGCAGGAGTTAAGAGAAAAAAAAAAAAAAAACAGCAAAACTTCGTCTCTACTAAAAATACAAAACAGTTACAAAAAAAAAAAAAAACATGCCTGTAGTCCCAGCTACTTGGGAAGCTGAGGCAGAAAAAAAAAAAAAAAATGGGAGGTGGAGGTTGCAGTGAGTGGAGATCATGCCACACTAAAAAAAAAAAAAAGCGACAGAGAGAGACCTTGTCAGGAAAGGGAAAGGGAAGGAAAGAAAAATGCATTTAAGAGTTCCAATTTGGGATGTGAAGAATCCACCTAACATTAAAAAAAAAAAAAATCCCCAATGAAGTAGGATAAGTTACTTGCTCCAGAAGGGTAAGGGTGATTATAAAAGCAAGTAGGTTACTCAGGTTCATGATCTCATTCACCGACGAAAAAAAAAAAAAAGCAATCTAAAAATGAACCTATTTATATAATATTCTGCTGGCAAAAAAAAAAAAAAACAAGTATTTTTCTTCTCTTCAAGGACCTCTAGGGAATCTGAAAAAAAAAAAAAAAAAGTTTTTTGTTGTTGTTCTTTTTGCTTTTTTAAAAATTGAGATAAGAGTCTCACTCTGTCGCTCAGGTTGGAGTGTAGTGGTGCGATCTCAGCTCACTTGCAACCTCTGCCACCGGGGTTCAACAATTCTCACGCCTCAGCCTCCCAAGTAGCTAGGCACACAGGTGCGTGCCACCACAGCTGGCTAATTTTTTCATATTTTTAGTAGAGACAAGGTTTCACCATGTTGGCCAGGCTGGTCTCAAACTCCTGACCTCAGGTGATCCACCCACCTTGGCCTCCCAAAGTGCTGGGATGACAAGTGTGAGCCACCGAAAAAAAAAAAAAATTAAAGTTACTACCAAGAATAATGTTTGCTTGTGGAGCGTGGTTTAAAAAAATAATCCTCGGACAAGACCAGTAAGGAGACATCAAAAGGTAGAGAAAAAAAAAAAAAAAAGGTTATAACCATTCCTTTCTTCTTCATTCTCCATCAGTCCAGCTTTTTAGAGATTCTGCTTTGGATCAGTCCTACAACAAACTCAGCAAGGTCATTTGGAGGGCAACTGAACACTGAAGACTAATTCTCACAGTTATCAGCTGTTTCTGAAAAAAAAAAAAAAAGAATGTTTTTGTTTTTTTTTTTTTCAGAGGGAGTCTCGCTTAAAAAAAAAAAAAAGAGTGCAGTGGTGCAATCTCGGCTCACTGCAACCTCTGCCTAAAAAAAAAAAAAAATTCTCCTGCCTCAGCCTCCCGAGTAGTGGGACTACAGGACAAAAAAAAAAAAAAGGCTAATTTTTTGTATTTTTAGTAGAGACGGGGTTTCACCGAAAAAAAAAAAAAAGTCCCGATCTCCTGACCTCGTGATCCACCCGCCTCGGCCTCAAAAAAAAAAAAAATTACAGGCGTGAGCCACTGCACCCAGCCTAAACTGAATGTTTTAAAAGCTAGGGTTGGCTGGGTGTGGTGGCTCACATCTATAATCCCAGCACTTTAAAAAAAAAAAAAAGGAAGATCACCTGAGGTCAGGAGTTCGAGATCAGCCAGGCTAAAAAAAAAAAAAACCATCTCTACTAAAAATACAAAATTAGCTGGGTGTGGTGGCAAAAAAAAAAAAAACCAGCTACTCATGAGAGTAGAGAGGCAAGACAATCACTTGAAAAAAAAAAAAAAAGGGTGCAGTGAGCCGAGATCATACCATTGCACTCAGGCTGGAAAAAAAAAAAAAAACTCCAACTCAAGAAAAAAAAAACAAAAACACAAACACACAAAAAAAAAAAAAAACACACAACTAGGGTTATAGGCTGGGTGTGGTGGCTCATAGGAAAAAAAAAAAAAATCACGACAGTAGTCCCAGCACTTTGGGAGGCCAATGTGGGAAAAAAAAAAAAAAATGGGAGTTTGAGACCAGCCTGGGCAACATAGTGAGACTCTGTCTCTACAAAAGTATTCAAAATTTAGCTGGGTGTGATGATGCACACCTTTAGTCCCAGCTACTTGGGAGGCTAGGGCGGGAAGATAACCTGAGCCCAGGAGTTGGTGGTTAAAAAAAAAAAAAATCATGCTACTGCACTCAAAGACTGTGTGACAAAGTGAGACCAAAAAAAAAAAAAAAAAAAAAAGAAAAACTGGACGGGTGCGGTGGCGCACGCCCGAAAAAAAAAAAAAAGGGAGGCCAAGGAGGGAGGATCACTTGAGCTCAGGAATTTGAAAAAAAAAAAAAAAATATGGCAAAAACCTGTTTCTACAAAAATACAAAAATTAGAAAAAAAAAAAAAAATGTGCCTGTAGTCCCAGCTACTCGGGGGTGGGGTGAGTTGAAAAAAAAAAAAAAAGATCGCTTGAATCCAGCGGGTCATGCCACTCACTACACACAAAAAAAAAAAAAAGAGCAAGACCCTGCCTCAAAAAAACAAAACAAAACAAAACAAAAAACAAAACCAACCAAAACCACCAAAAAACCTCATAAAAAAACAAAAAGAAAAAAAAAAAAAAAAAACAAACTAGGGTTATCTGTACTATGATTCACTGCACATGTAGAAAAAAAAAAAAAACAGATCCAGATCTCTCTCCTTACCGTGTGCTCTACAGTTTCAAGTACTCAACCTTGAGAGACACCAGAAAAAAAGGCCTGGGAAAACACGTTTGCAAAAAAAAAAAAAAAAAAGAGAGAGTAACATATATGTACAAATGAATGTATATGTAAAAAAAAAAAAAAAGGGAAGTGGTACAGATACAGCAAAAATGCAGAGACTTACCAAAAAAAAAAAAAAAGCTTTCTGACACAAGAAAAGCTAGGCCCACATTTTTGGATGAAAAAAAAAAAAAAACTCCACAATAAATACATCCTAAAACTCCTGGAATTATCTGAAAAAAAAAAAAAATTTCTCCTCATAAGATGGCCATGAAGATTAGACTGAAGGTATACATTAACTCACTTCCATTTGGCCTATCAGATATCTAGTGGCCCCTTTATCTAGAAAAAAAAAAAAAATCTCTTAAGAGTAAGAACTATGATTCTCTGTAGGCTAAGCAGTTTTTGAGGCACCTGGTTTCATTTGGAAATAAAATGAATTTATGGTCAAACTCGAAAAAAAAAAAAAATTTAAGAATCTTTAGGATGAAAAATACCCTCCTCTCACTGGAAAAAAAAAAAAAATCACAGGCTTTATGAGATGACCCTATCTCTGGAGGCAGTTGAACTGAGCCATACCTCCGTCTAGCACTCATATCCACAGGCTCATCATTGATGTTTTCTTTGCCTGGCCTTCCAGCAGTCCTGTTGTCTCCATGAGGCCTGAGATTCCCATTAAGTTTTTCTTCATAGCCCTTGACACCACTGCCATCCTGTTTGGTGGGTAACTCATGTGGCACCTCAAGATTTGCCAAATCCTTCCTTTTGAGCAATGCCAACATTTTCAAAAAAAAAAAAAACTCGTGCCCCTCCATTTTGAGTCGCTTTGCCAGGACATCATAAAAAAAAAAAAAAGGGTCCAAGCTCCGCTTCAACAGATTCAAGCGAAGAGCATCAAAAAAAAAAAAAACCATCCTATGGAAAGAAAACTACAAGTAAGATCAGAATAAAAAAAAAAAAAAAAAATAAAGTTACAAGAATCTTTCTCTCTTACACACACACAGAGTTCAAAGTTAACTAAGCTAATGTCCTGATATTGTCCTAGAACATCTATATTAAAGAAAAAAAAAAAAAACAACCTCAGCAATTTAAGTAAACTTAAATTTACATAAGTGAAAAAAAAAAAAAAATGCCCTGAATTCTATATGGATACAGACTGAAAACCTTTTTTAAAAAAAAAAAAAATTTTTTTTTTTTTTTTTTTTTTACACGTGCAGGTTTGTTACAAAAAAAAAAAAAATGTTACCAGGGTTAGCAGATTCAAAATCTGAAGAAACTTAAAAAAAAAAAAAAAATGAAGAACTTAGGTGGTTAGCGTGATAAGCAGCACTATTTTAAAAAAAAAAAAAAAAGCAAAATTGATAAGCTAATTAATCATTATCTTCCCTTTTCACTTTGATTTTTTTTACACTAACAAAATCTAAATGTAGGCCGAGCATGGTGGCTAAAAAAAAAAAAAAAGCTCCTCCAGAGGCTGAGGTGGGAAGACTGCTTGAGCCCAGGAGTTCAAGACCAGCCTGAGAAAAATCGTGAGACCCCATCTCTACAAAAAAATTAAAAATCTGTCAGGCATGGTGGCACATGCCTGTAGTCCGAGCTACTTGGGAGGCTAAGGTGGGAGGACTGCTTGAGACCAGGAGGTTGAGGCTGCCGTGAGCCTGATCGCAAAAAAAAAAAAAAGCTGGGGTGATACAGTGAGGCTCTGTCTTAAGAAACAAACAACAAAAAATTCAAATGCAAATTCAGATTTAGATTTTCTCTAACACTTTCAAATCCAAAAAAAAAAAAAAGGTAGGAAACAGTAAAGATAAAATAGTAAGAAAATCTTTTAAAAAAAAAAAAAAAAGGTTAAAATTGCTACTTATGTTAACCAGGTCAAATATTTAGTAAGTTACTTTACCTTCCCAAGTTTCAATTTCATTTGTAAAAATGGAGTGCTAGAAAAAAAAAAAAAACTCAAGCCTGTAATCCCAGCACTTTGGGAGGCCGAGGCGGGAAAAAAAAAAAAAAAGGAGATCGAGACTGTCCTGGCTAACATGGTGAAACCCCGTAAAAAAAAAAAAAACAAAAAACTAGCCGGGCGTGGTGGCGGGCGCCTGTAGTCTCAAAAAAAAAAAAAACTGAGGCGGGAGAATGGCATGAACCCGGGAGGCGGAGCTTGAAAAAAAAAAAAAACACGCCACTGCACTCCAGCCTGGGAGGCACAGCGAGACTCTAAAAAAAAAAAAAAAAAAAAAAAAAATGGAGTGCTTAAAATTTTCTTCTATTCCAAAAAAAAAAAAAAAAGCTCACACCTATAATCCCAGCATTGGGCTGAGGTGGGTGGAAAAAAAAAAAAAAAGTTCAAGACCAGCCTGGCCAAGATGGTGAAACCCTATTTCAAAAAAAAAAAAAAAAACTTAGCCGGGCTGGGTGGCGGGCGCCTGTAATCCCTGCAAAAAAAAAAAAAAAGGCAGAGAATTGATTGAACCCAGCAGGTGGAGGTTGCAGTAAAAAAAAAAAAAACCACTGCACTCCAGCCTGGGCAACAGAGGGAGGGAGGGAAGAAAAAAAAAAAAAAAGGAAGGGAGGAAGGAAGGAAGGGAGGAAGGAAGGAAGGAAAAAAAAAAAAAAAAGAGGAATAAAATAAAAAAGATTATTTTCCAGTTGCAATTAAAAAAAAAAAAAAAAACAGGGGCTGGGTGCAGTGGCTCACGCTTGTAATCCCAGCACTTTGGGAGGCTGAGGTAGGTAGATCACTTGAGGTCAGGAATTCGAGACCAATCTGGCCAGCATGGTGAAACCCTGTCTCTACTAAAAATACCAAAATTAGGCACGGCGGCGCTTTCATGTAGTCCCAGCTACCTGAGAGGCTGAGGCATGAGAATCACTTGAACCTGCAAGGTGGAGGTTGCAGTGTGCAAAGATTTCACCACTGCATTCCAGCCTGGGAAAAAAAAAAAAAAACTGTCTCAAAACAAAAACAAAACAAAACCAAAAAATGAAAAAAAAAAAAAAAAATATTTATTTATTTGAGATGGAATCTTGTTCTGTCACCAGGCAAAAAAAAAAAAAAGAGATCTCAGCTCACTGCAACCTCTGTCTCCCAGGTTCAAGAAAAAAAAAAAAAACAGCCTCCCAAGTAGCTGGGACTATGGGTGTGTGCCACCACAAAAAAAAAAAAAATGTATTTTAGTAGAGATGGGGTTTCACCATGTTGGCCAGGAAAAAAAAAAAAAAATGACCTTGCGATCTGCCCGCCTCGGCCTCCTAAAGTGCTGGAAAAAAAAAAAAAAGCCACCATGCCCGGCCTGTTTTTATTTTTATTTTTGAGAGAAAAAAAAAAAAAAAATCACCCAGGCTAGGGTGCAAGTGGCACAATCATAGCCTACAAAAAAAAAAAAAACTAGGGCTCAAACAATCCTCCACGCCTCAGCCTCCTGAGTAAAAAAAAAAAAAAACCACCACACTGGGCTAACTTTTCAGTTTTTTGTAGGACAAAGTCTCACTATGTTGCCCAGGCTGGTCTGGAACTCCTGGGTTCAAATGATCCTCCTAAAAAAAAAAAAAAAAGTGCTGGGGATTATAGGCAGAAACACACCTTTTAGAGACAAAAAAAAAAAAAAAACCCAAACTTCTGAATTTTGGGGTAATGTTTTTTAATTCTTTCTTTTTAAAGAACAGCTTTAGCAGCCATAAAAAAGAAGGAGTTCATGTCCTTTAAAAAAAAAAAAAAGAAGCTGGAAGCCATCAATCTCAGTAAACTAACAAAGGAAGAGAAAACCAAACACTGCATGTTTTCACTCGTAAGTGGGAGTTGAACAATGAGAACAAAAAAAAAAAAAAAGGGGAACATCACACACCTGGGTCTGTCGGGAGGTGGGAGGCAAAAGGAGGGAGAGCATTAGGACAAATACCTAATGCATGTGGGGCTTAAAACCTAGATGACAACAGGTTGACAGCTGCTGCAAACCACCATGGCACATGTATACCTATGAAAAAAAAAAAAAATTTCTGTGCGTGTATCCCAGAACTTAAAGTAAAATAAAATAAAATAAGAAGAGCTTTACAGAGATATAATTCACATATCATGCAATTTACCTAAGTATACAATTCCATATTTAGCATATTCAAAGCTGTGCAACTATCATTATAATCAACTAAAAAAAAAAAAAATCACACTTCACCTCCCAATTTACCTCTGAAAAATATCTTCAGATGGAGGCCAGGCGCGGTGGCTCAAGCCTGTAATCCCAGCACTTTGGGAGGCCGAAAAAAAAAAAAAAACGAGGTCAGGAGATTGAGAGCATCCTAACACAGTGAAACCAAAAAAAAAAAAAAACATACAAAAATCTAGCTGGGCAAGGTGGCGGGCGCCTGTAAAAAAAAAAAAAAAGGAGGCTGAGGCAGGAGAATGGCGTAAATCCAGGAGGCGGAAAAAAAAAAA